CGGTCCTACGAATTTTCTGGAAGACAATTTGTTTTTTCACCATTATCACGACATGCTACCAAACGGGCTTGGCGCGCGCGCGTGTCGAAATCGTTCGGTCGCCCTTGAACGCGTGCTGGGGTGGCACGGTCCATGTCAAGTCATACCATGCGGGCCACCTCCCGCGCGTCTGCCACGCGCGCATGTCGAACTCCTTCCAAAACGTTGATCACCCACGCGAAGACGCGTCGTCGGCGTGATCAGCATCGGCGCCGTCACTGGCTGCCCCGTCGTCGCAGTCAGCATCGCCACCATAATCGCTATCAGCATCATCGTGTCTACCGTTGTCGACGTTGCCATGATACCGCGCCCGCTTAAGTCGACGACTCGCACTGAAGTGCCCTCTGGGGTGCGCCGAACGGTCAGGGCCACCGCTTTCGCGTCGGTCGCGCCAAGCTAGCTGGCCGCTGCGGGCGCGAGCATGCGCGGGCTAGCGCGGCCGCAGAGATGCACCAACCAACACCAAACATTCATCGCAATCGTTCCCGCATGGGTTTTGGAAACCAACTTGCTGGTGGGTGGGTGGGATGAGTGCACGAGCAATGGAGTTGGCAACTTCAAATTTGGCAAGTGAATAACACCAAACATTGCATTGCATAGGTTTCCGCGCGTAAATCGCACCACGTGGACTACACCACACAGTTTGCATTACACACGTTGCATCGCGTATGTTCTCCTTTTCTAAAAAGAGAATCGGCTTCCCCCCCCCCCCCCCCCGCCCGGATTATCGACACCCTGGTTCGTATTGCAATTTAAATACCATGTTGCCCCATCGTCCATGTTAACCATGAGTTCGTACCAGTCCATCCCAACCAGGATCGGCCCCCCGTCATCCTCTGCAAAGATACTGTGCGCGCATTCGTTTATCAACAATCAGTAGTTGTCAAGGAGCTCTAGCAACATATAAGACGAATCGCACACGCGCGCATCGTCGCGCGCGTATGCCGAAATCAGTCACAAACGTGAGGTTGCGTAATGGTTTCAAAATCCACGGTCCAAAACCTATATACCACATGGTGTCACAACACGGATGTCCCCAACAGACTTGCGCCTTCGGCCTTGCGAATCCTCAAGAAAACCGCAGTTGTTTTTTCAACATATTCACGAAATTTTGCAAATCGGGCTTCGCGCGCGCATGTCGAAATCGTTCGCGCGCCCCTGCGCGCGTGCCGTCGGGAAAATGCTTTGCAAACAAGCGGGACGAAGTGCGCGCGCGTCCTCGCGCGAAAATTTCGGAATCCGTCAAACACATTTTTTTTGTTCGCGACGATTTCAAAACGACTGCCTAAACACATATACAAATTCATGGTTTCGTACGTTTTCAAAACAGCGTGCGCTCGAGGTCTTGCGCAATTTTGAGAATATCATATGTTTTTTCCAACCTGTTCATTGTAGTCTGGCACACGTGCCTCTGGCGCCGCATGCCAACATCATTCGCACGCCCTTGCGCGCGCGCTTCGGGGGCACGACCCGTGTCAAATAAAAACCATGTTGGCCACTCTCGCGCGTCGCCCGCGCGCGCATGTCGAACTCTTTCCACAACCTTCATCGCCGACGCGAGGACGCCGTCATCGTCGACGGCGTGATCAACATCGGCGCCCGCACTTGCCGCGCCGTCGTCATTGCCAACATCGTCACCCGTATCGCTGCTATCAATGTCGTGTCTACCATTGTCGACGTTGCCATGATACCGCGCCCGCCCAAGCCGCCCCCTCGCAGTGAAGTGCCAACTGGCATGTGCCCGGCGGTCAGCGCCACCGCGGCCGCGTCGGTCGCGCCAAGCTAGCTGGCCGCGGCGCGCGCGCGCTTGGGTTGGCGCGGCCCCAGGCATGGAGCAGCGAACACCCAACACGCATCGCAATCGCCACCTCATGGGCTTTGCAAACCAATCTGTGGGTGGGTGGGTGGGGTGTTCGCAAGAGCTTAGGGTGGGTCAACTCGTTTGTGTAAATCATGTGCACCACATGTATTGCGCCCCGTGTGTGTAAATGTATACGTATGTATGTATGTGCGTATATACACATGTATATATGTATATGTATACGTATTGCACCGCATCGGTTGCACGACATGTGTTACACCGCATACATTGCACCACATTGTTTGCATCGCAGATCTTGCAATAACCTATTGTGTGGTGTCCACGCTGGCGAACATTGCGTTTCAATTCCAAATTCAAGACGAAGTCTAAGCACACAAATTGGAATCAATTGTGCGCCCTCTAGGTTGGTAGTGTTTGAAACCACTTGGTGGATGTATCACCTGTCGAGCGTAATGTGACGAATATGGTAAGCACATGTTGCAGATGCCGAAGTCAAATTGTTTGTTGCGAGCTCTGATCGTTAGCCCTCGGTCAGTTGCAATTTTTGGCGCGCTCAACACGTTCGTCCTGTCCCTTTCCGGGGGATGCGGGGCCCCAGAAATCCAGAATGATGGAGCACCCTGCAGATATGTTAAAATCGGGCCATCGCTTCCAACAGAGTAAAACATATCACCTCTGAGATCTTGCCCTTCTCTGTTGTGCCACTTCCGAGCCATGCTGGCACTATTGTGCTCCATGCAGACGGCATCAATGTTTTGCGTGCTCTGGGCTATCTCCTGCAATCGAGTAACACAACTAGAAGAACAGATGTTGCATTGTAAGACTGAAGCATGCTGCATCTTGACGGGTGAGGTCAGCAGCCAGCGAACGAAACAATTGATGCGGGAAAGGAGAAAGCAATGCCGCATTAACCGTACATTGCACAATACTTGATTGCAGAAGATGTGGCAGCTATGCTAACAAAAGCGTGTTTCAAGTATGGAAAAAAAGCAAGCGCCCGAATCGAGGCACTTGGGAGGAGGAGGAGGAGGAGGAGGAGGAGGAGGAGGAGGAGGGAGGAGGTGGAGGAGGAGGAGGAGGAGGAGGAGGAGGGAGGAAGAGGCGGAGGGGGGGACGGAGGAGGAGGGAGGAGAAGTGGAAGGATGAGGAGCAGGGCGGCACGACCACCAGCCCGACAACCACGACGACCCTATTACGCGACCACTACCATGACCACCACGACCACCTCTGGCATGACGACCATCACGACTGCTACGACGGGACACGACCGCCATCACGACCACCACCACGACGACCCAACGACCGCCCCCCGCCAGCTTCCTTCATTCCATCGGCCTGGCCGCCCCTGCCTGCAGAGTTCATGTCCTCTCCCCTCCTCCTTCCCCCCGTTGCGCTCGCACTGCCCTGCCCGCGCAAGTAGTCGCCTAGGGCGTTCGCCTGCGCAGGCGGTTCTTGGAGGACACGCTGTTTTGCCGATGCGTTGTGTTGGTGGTCATTCAATTTGGGCTGGGAGGCCGTATGGATTATCTGGACGTTCGCACAGGGTCGCCCCCTGAGAGCATGTGGGGGCGCCATCCCCGTGACCGGCGGGAGGGATATCTGCAGTGGTGCCGCAATCGCGGTCGGGAAGTTGCAGCAGAGAACGCTTCAAGATCGCTTGGTCTTGCCCTTGCCCAAGACATTTTGCAAGCGTCGATTCATGTCGAGCTTCCTTCATCGAGTGAGGGAGGCCGTGACCATCGTGAAGGCCTTACGGCCGGCGCCGCCGACCCTCAAGGGGGAACCCGAGGCATTTGTGAGGCAAAGAATCGAAGGGCACATTTTCTCTCAGGGAGGGGTGCCCCCCCCGGGGGGGGTCGCAACCCCCGCGATTCTCCCCCCCCGCTGCGGGTCGGCGGATTATCGAGCGGTTGTGGTCATAATCATATTTCTCTGAAGGAGGGATAGGGGAGGAGGAAAAGGAGGAGAAGGGAGGATGAGGAGGAGGATTTGTTGTGCCATCAACGATGTAAAGCAACTCTGAGCGGGCCTGGCCAGCACGAGCACCACAAAGACGCCGAAGAAGACACAGAGCACTTTGCGATAAATGCACTGCACCACGCCATCAACAACGCAACATTCGAGTGAAGGTATAGAGAGGCCCACCTCGTGCATGACGCATGTCGATGATAGCCCCACGGCCTGCATGACGCCGCACACCAGTGGACCAGCACAAAGATGACGAACCGCCTTACCGCAGCAACAAAAGCACCGAAACCCTGCACCCGCCCAGCGCTTGCAGCCCAATGACAGTGCCGATGAGCATCCGTGGGCAGAAGGCGTCACTCAACCACCACGCAAAACGCTATCACATTGTAAATACCCATCGAAAGTAAGCACGATTAATATGGAGCATCTCACAACAATTGCAAGGCAACAATTGACTTCTCCAGAGCCGTAACGGTGAATAAATCTATGAAGCAACGTCCAACCATATACATAAGACAAAGCGATTGCCTTACTTGCCCAAGTGGGCCTGGGCCAGGCTCAGCCACACGAGGACGCCGCGAAGAACCCAGAACACATACATAAGACAAAGCGTCTGCATAATTTGCCCAAGCGGGCCTGGGCCAGGCTCAGCCACTCGAGGATGCCGCCAAGAACCCGGATAAAGGAACGATGCTGATGCTAAAAGCGTTATGGCCCGCGCCGTCGCCCCAGCCGCCAGTGCCGCAAGTCCCACACGGGGAAACCCATAGGCATTGCGGCAATAGCCACTGTGGAAGAGCAGAATGAACCGCATGCCAAGTCGCCAGCGAAGACGAAGATGGACACGCACGCCCCAGGTAGCATACCCCGGCGTTCACCGATGAGGCACATTTTTTAATAAGAAGCCCAGGCACCAGCGCTCAAGTCAGCACACGTGTGGTACAGCCCTGGGGCATCATGGCGCAGGCAGCTAGCTCGTTTGAACCAAAGGTGGCCTGAACCGAGAGGGGACTTGAGAGGATGAGGGGGCGGATGACGAGGAGGAGGAGGAAGGAGGAGGAGGAAGTTGGCGGAGGAGCTAGGAGGGAGAGATGGTAGAGGAGGAGGAGGATGAGGAGGAGGAGGAGGAACATGAATGGCCTCGTCCTTTGCCTCTCGGCCCGATTGTGCAGGTCGATCCTCATGGACTTCACGCCCTCGGGTCAGAGAGGCGCGCGGGGGGGCCGCATCCTCCTCTTTCCCATCCCATCGATCGAGAGGGGGGGAGAGGAGGAAGAATAGATGGAAGGAGAAGCAGGAGGAGGGGTCTGGAAGAGGAGGTTCGAGGATCGAGGTTGTTGGACGTGTGTTTCACGTTGGCCCTTTCTCGGCCTGCGGAGGCTTCCCTCGGCATCCCTTATTTGAGCATGACCACTCCCTGGTTGTATTACAGGCTGCTCTCCTGCGTGGCCCTTCTGTCCACTTTGCGATGCTTGCCATGCTAATTGATTCTGCAGCCCGCGATCGACGTTCGGGCTTCCTTGGGGCAGCTTTTCAGTGCCAGGGCGACCCTCTCGGGGAGCCTGGGGGAGTTCTTGACGGCCGCCAGCGACCCCACCGAGCTGGGCAGATGTTTCAAGTGTTGCCAAGGGCACTCGTTTGGGGATACCGTCATAAGTCGCATATTGCTGCTTCGCCGTCTATGAGCACTCCAATCTGGGACTATGTACGGTTGTGCGTGCAACGACGGTAAGGGGCTGTTGTAAGGCGTCGCCGTGACGAGGTGGGCACCACCCGCGAGGGCTGTTGGAGGAACATATTTGCGGAAGGGGGCACCGCGCAGGGTGAGACTTCTTTGACCACAGCATTTTCGCGAGGCCTGAGCTTGTGCTTGCAAGACGCTGGCGCCCGCCTGGCGGCCAAGAAAGTATGGGTCCACATCCCCAGCCTGGTGGACGACTTACTGCTCGTCACAGCGCCAGAGCACGTCCATGTAGCCATCTCCGTCCTTGAGTGAGAGATGGCGCGCATCAACCTCAGGCTGAGCCTTGCCAAGTGCGCGGCCTACGTATATCCCAGAAAGGAGCGAGAAGGGACGGTCCAGACCCGGCCATCACCATGCTCAAGCAGGTAGTGGGGCTATGGGGTCGAGTCCGAGACCGAGCTGGGGCCCGACTCAGTGGCAGCGCAGTCCGCGTTACGACGACTTGCTGCGGCACGTCGATTGGCCCAGAAGTGCGCTCGTTTCCCAGGGAAGGGCCGAGAGCAGGCATCGTTCCAGACATCGTGGCATCTTCTCAGAGTGGTGCCGAAAGTCCTCGTGCACGACGCCCGCACTTGAGAGCCCGAGGCCAACCTGCTTATGGCAGACCAGTTGGACGCCATCGTCGGTGACGTTGCCCGGACACTCCTGGGAGTGCAAGCCGACGACGGGCAGGCAAAAGGCATGTCTGTTCAGCTGCAGTGGCCACCAGGCCTCGGCGGCATGGGTTTCGGTTCGGCGACGCTGGGGGCAAGGTTTGGGCGACTGGCAGCGCTTCTGTAATGCATGCCAGTTGCGCGGCAGCACGTGCGAGCCGTGTTGCCCGACCCCGCTTAGGAGGAGATCCTGAGAGCTATTCCGCTCGACGGCGCCGAGCGAATGTTGGCCTGGCTGAAGGAGGCGCACGGCGTCACTTCGAACCGATCTGGGCGCTCCACAGCACGGTTTCCCTGGTGGCGCAAGAGGCGCAGCAGGTGGACATACTCACCAGGCGCGCGACATCGGAGCACTCCAGCCAGCGCCAAGCCGCAAGAATTGCCCAGCGCAGCCCTGCCGAGAGCGAGCACCGCGAGTGCAAAGCCGCGGCGCGCCTCCGCCACTGCGTGCGCTTGCGGTCGACCGCGGGCACGGGCGCACGGTTGGGTCAACGCTGCCCCATCGACCGAGCACTCCGGCTGAACGACGCGGAATTCCAGTATGGAGTCCGGCGGATGCTTGGCTTGCGGGTCATGCGCGAGACCGCTTGCCAGCACCGGCGCAGCCAGAGGCGAGAGGACGCAGCGTTGTGCGGCAAGCAGTGCGGCCGCTTGGGCGACGCGCGACGGTACCCAGATCTGGGGGTCGGCAGGAGCCTCTACAAGTTGCACAATTCCGTTGCCGCCTGCCTCCGTCGCTTCGCGGCACAGAGCGGTGTCGAGGCAGAGATGGAAGAAGATTGCCCGCCGAGCTTGCAAGGCGAGACCAGCGCCTAAGAAGCAGCAGAGGCCCACATCGATGTCCATCTCCAGGGGCATGGGCCGGAGCTTTACGAAGACTGGGCCGAAGACACCGCCACGAATATGTTCAGATCGCCCAGGAGGAAAGGAAAGGCAACGCCAACGGATGCCCACGCAACGCAGGCCGCGGGGAAAGCCAAATTCACCAGGTAATTATGGGCAGGGCCGGGGAGGAGAGGCAGTCTCCCATTTGGGCTTGGAAACATTCAGCCGCCTTGGGCGGCCCACCCCCCCGCTGTCCTCGAGAAGCTTGCCCTCCAGTGTGGCGTGCGCGGGGGCGGGCAGCCAGCGCGCAGCGTGCGACGGTGGCGCGCTGCGATCAGCGCGGCGGTCGTCCGGTCGCTCGCCGAAAAGATCGCCAGCGCGGGCATGGAGCATGCGGAGCATTGAACAGTCGCAAATAGGAGCGCCGTCGGACTTTCTTGTGTAGTCGCGAGCACACAAGGGGTAAGCAGGATGAAGACTGACAATGCGGAAAATTAATTGGGTGCGCAGGATGCGCAGATTGATTGGGAAGCGGGGTGGGGCGGATGTGGGAGGGAGGGAGAGAGGGGAAGGAAGGTGAGGAGGAGGAGGAGGAGGAATAGGAGCAGGAGGAAAACGAGGAGGACATCCGCGAAAATTCCAAGCCCACCGCGTGAAGACTGCGGGGAGCGTGAAGCCTTCAACAGTTTTCAACAGGGTGGACTCGCGGATCGCAGGCCAAAGATGTCATGAAATCGGCGCAGGGACAGGCACTAGACACAACAACAGCAAGACAATGCATAATCACGAGGTCAAGTGAGGGAGGCCCTGAATCTCCTCCTCATCCAGCCGCCGCGCGTTCCAGACGCCGCCGGCCGTCTGCGGAAAGCGGAGACGTCGGCCTTGTGGCGCGTTCTGCGGGCACATGCGCGGCCGCGGGCCAGGAGGGGAAAAACGCGACACACAAACAAAAACACGTGTTTCGCGTCACGGCCATTGGCGCAGCAACGCGGCGGGAAAACGACGTACACACACACGCATACACACACGCATTTTTTGACGAAGCGCTAGTGACTTCCAGCCAACGGGCAACACGGTGGAGGTGCAACCCTCGAAATTCTAGACGTTTCGCGTAACCCCAGCAGTCTACCCGACAGGCTGGGGCTGACGTCCTCGGGCCGTTCCCTTGTCCGCACCTGGACGTTGGAACGTTATCGCGCCATTTTGGCTGCGCTAGGTCGTCTCGGTGCCTGGCTGGTGGACGCACCTGCATGCCCATTCAGGGGCTGTCATGGCACCTGGATTGCATCGGCCTCGCCCCCTGGACGCTGTCGTGAGCCGCCTGATCCGCGGCCCTGCGCGCGTTAGGTAATTTAGTCGCGTCCGCGGCCCGTTCGCGACCTTCCGCCGCTGGCGCTTCCGCCTGCGGCTGTAAAAAAAAAAAGTAACCCCAGCAGTGCGCTCTAGTTTGCTGCTCGCTGAAAATTAATAAGGACCGCGCCCCGGACTTACCGACCCGCCGCTTGCGCCTTCGCTTGCGGCCGCGACCCCAAAAAATAACCCCAGCAGCATTTCCCTGATGGCTCCAGGAGGGCACTTACCACCTTACCACTCTGCTCATCCTGTGGCCGTGGAGACGGTTTGCTGGATTGTATGTCGCGTGCGTTTGGTGTGCGTTCGTGGTTCCCCCCCCCGTACTTCATGTCCCTGCTCTTCGGCAAGGTACTTCGACCTTTTTGCCGCCTGAGCCTGATCCCCTGCGCGCCCGCCGCCTTTTCCTTGTATCCTTCGTCCCTCGTTTTTTTCCCCCCTTTCGCCTTCTTCCTCTTGTTTTTCGTTCGCCCTCGCCCCTGCCGCGCTGCCGCTGCGCATCGCCTGGTAGTTATCTTCACCATCGTGGCCTTCTTTTCCTGCGCTTCGCTGGCGACCGTTGCATTGTGCGCCCTGGCCCTGTGCTGCTCGACCCCTTGACGGTGCGCGGCTGCTTCCGCGACACTCGCAATCAAGAAACGCAACCCCAGCAGCCTATCCAGAAACGATGTCCAGAGGAATTGCCTCGATCAGGGAAGTGAGCAGCGCCCAGAGGAAGGGTCCCCCAGTGGAGGCCTCTTGGAGCGTCTTGGGGGCCTCTTGGCGGTCCAGGGCGCCCGTTAGAGCGTCTTGGGTGCGTCGGAGAGCGTCTCGGGGCCTCCTGGGGGTCTCTCGGGAGCCTTTTGGAGGCCTCTTTGGGCGCCTCTTGGGGCCTCCTGGGCGCCTCTTGGATGCCTGTTGGAGCGCTCTTGGGAGCTTTGGGAACGCTCTTGGGGCCATGTAGGAGGACATCGATCAAACAAGGTGGGGGGGGGGGCATTATTTAACGCTGCCCCCCGGGAGCCCCCCCGAAAATCGCTTCTCGGGGCGCTATTGGAGCGCTCTTGGGCGCTTCGGGGGCCGTCTTGGGTTTTTTTTCGGAGCCCTCCTGGACCATCTTGGAACCATTTTGAGGCTTCGGATGGCCACCGGAAGCGAAACAGCGAGAAAGCCAACACCGCTCATGTTCCTAAGGTTTTGGAAGGATGCTGGCCTCTCCAGGGCCTCCTGGGGGAGCTCGTTGGCCACTTGGGGCGATCTTGGAGCTGTCCTGGGGCCTCTTTCTTAGAGCATCGTGGGAGTCATCTTGAGGCATGTTGCATTACCTTGAGGCATTTTGGAGGTCGTCTTGGGCTCTCCCAGGCGCAACTGGGGCCATCTTAATCAATGCCTCCCCCACGAGGCCAACATGTGGCCAACATTTTATTCTGTAGTAGAATCAATGGTTTTGGCATTCTCGCCGAGGCCTCTTGGAGCGCCGTGGGTGCCTCTGGGGGGCCTCTTGGAGCCTCTTGGGGGTCTCTTGGGAGCCTGTTGGGGGCATCCTGGGGGCCTCTTGGAGCCTCCTGGCCACCTCTTGGGGCCCTTTTGGGGCACCTTTTGGGAGCCTTGGGAGCGCCGTTGGGCTCTCTAGTTCGCCTCCCCCTGTCAGGAGGCCAATATGAGGCCCAGACCTAAGTACAACCAGTGATGTTGGCTTCCTCGCCGAGCTCGTTTTGGACGTTCCAACTACCCGCGGAACCCCCCGTCCAGGTCCAGGGGAGGGGGTTGGGGGAGGGTTCAAAACTCCCTCCCCGCCCGGAAGCTGTCTCGCTCACTCCCACCCGCCCTACCAACACATACGTAGCACCCGAGCCTGGCCCGAACCGCAGCATATTCAGCAGTCGTCTTCGGATGGGCAGCTACGGGGGGCGAATCCGCCGCCGCCGCCTCCCCCGCCGCCGCCGCCCGCCGACGCCCGCCGCCGCCGCCGCGCTGCCGCGCCGCCGCCGCCGCCGCCGCCACCCCCGCTGCCGAATCGCGGCCGCTGCAGGCGCTGCCGCCGCAGCCGTTGCCGCCGCAGCCGCTGTCGCCGTCGCCGACGCCGCCGCCGCCGCCGCCGCCACCGCCGCAGCCACCGTAGCCGTTGCCCCCGCCGCAGCCGCCGCCGCCGCCGCCAAGTGTACGGTATAGTGTTTGTTGACAAGGATGGTGGGGAGAGGCCGCATCGGGTTCGCTGCGCATGCTCCCAATTTGGAGGCAGAGTGTGTGTTGTATTGTTTTTTTGCAAGGGATGGTGGGGGGGGGCGCCCGCATTGATTCCGGTTGGCTCCCAGCCGCTTGGGGGAAGGGATGTATACTAATAGGGAGCAGTGATCAAGACACCCCCCTAGACCGCAAACCGTTTCGCTCACTCCCACCCGCCCTCCCGCCACATAAGTGGTACCCGAGTCCCGGCGTAGCCAGTGGTCGCCAGTGGATGGGCAGCCACATGGAACCACAGCGGACGCCAGGTGCGCGACGTTCGCCGCAGGCCCACTTGCGGCTAGTGTACCACCATTGCCAATAGCAGCATGATGCCCCCCGCCCACATGGTCCAGATGCTGAAGTGGGAGCGTCAGCCTTGTTCCAGGCCTGCGCACAGCAAGAGTCATCATGCGGGCCCCACCGCCGTCCTTGTCAATAAAAAATACAAATTGATCGCGGGTGGCCAGCACAATACCCAAGACATTGTCGCAATGTGCATTTCGTGTTGTTTTTGACACGGTGGTGGTCCTGCACAAAGCGGTTTTACTAAGGGTGCCCCGCCATCTCTGTCAAACATAATGCAACGTGCTTACAGGGCGCCAGCGCACTGTCCAGGTTTTGCTGCAATGTGCATTGCGTATTGTTTTTGAGAGGGATTGCGAGCGGTGTTGGCAGGGTGGGCCCCGCAATGTGCATTTAGTTTTGTTTCCTGACGGGGATGGTGGGGGGGCCTCAAGGTGTGCGCATGGTGCCGGGTTGGCTGCCGGCCGGGTGGGGGAGGGGGTGTTTATTAGTAAGGGACAGTGATAAACCCCTCCCCGACGGGGAAGAAGGGGGTTGGAAGAGGACGCTCCCTAGACCACCTACGCCCTAAAGGGATGGTGGGATTCTACGTAGACGCTTCGCGTAACCCCACCGGCCCTGGAGCTCTCTTGGAGCCCCCTTGGGCCATCTTGAGGCCTCGGATGGCCATCGGAAGCGAACAGACGAGACAATCAACATAACTGGTTTTCCTAATGTCTTGGAAGGATTCTGGCCTCTTCGGGGCCCTCTGGGGATGCTCTTTGGCCACTTGGAGCCGTCTTGGAGCGGTCTTGGGGCCTCTTGGAGCATCGTGGGAACCGTCTTGAGGCATCTTGGGATATCTTGAGGCATTTTGGAGGTCGTCTTGGGCTCTCCCAGGCGCTCTTGGGGCCATCTTAATCAGTGCCCCCCCCCCCCCCCCCCCCCAAGAGGGCAACATGTGGTCCAAACCTTAGTAAAACCATTGATTTTGGTTTTCTCGCCGGGACTCTGGGGTCCAAACCTTAGTAAAACCTGAAGAGCGTCTTGGGTGCCTCTGGGGACCCTTTTAGGGGGTCTCTTGGGAGCCTCTTGGGGGCATCCTGGGAGCCTCTTGCGGGCCTCTTGGTGCCTCCTGGCCACTTCTTGGGCCCCCCCTGGGGCACCCTTGGGACTGAGCCTTGGGAGCGCTGTTGAGGCAATCTCGGAGGAGATCGATGAAATAATGGGGGTTCCCCAGTTAGCCTCGCCCCCCACCAGGAGGCCAAAATGGGGCCAACACCGTAGTAAAACAAGTGAGTTAGGTTTCCGCGCCGAAGCCGTTTTGGACACTCCAACTGCCCGCGGAATCCCCGTCCAGGTCCAGGGGAGGGGGTAGGGGGAGGGGCAAACCCCTTCCCCAAAGAGGAAGAGTGAGGGGTGGAAGGGGACGCTCCCTAAACCACTTACGCCCGAAAGGGCTGGTGGGATTAAGAAGTCCCTCGCGCGCGCAGACGCACGAAGGCACGACGCTGACATACGAGGGAACGAGTCGGGGAGGGCAGGCAGATACGGCCAGCAGCTCGAAACTCGATGACCCATCCCCACCAGCGCTCAGTATCCACAGGACCCTTTGATTATGTATGTGTCCGCCACAGCTCGGGCAAACCAGCGATGTAGATTCCGGTTGGGCAATCTCTCGCGCCACAGGAGGAGAGGGGGCGTTCCCGCGCCGCCTCAAAGGGCCAGATAATTGAGCAGGGGCCCCTCCGCTGTATTCAGAGCGCTGTCGTCTCCGCCACAGGGCTTCAGCACGATTCGCCGCACTTTGGGCGAGGACATCAGGGGGAAACTAGGGAGGGGGGGACGGGGATGAGCAAGAGGAGGAGGAGGAAGAACAGCGGCAGATCGTTGGGGCTCACCTTCAAACGGACCAGAACTCTCCCCCTTTGCGCTCACCACATGCGAGCGCGACAGAATAGGATCCATGGAGCTCGTTTGTTTGACCAGGTATTCCGCGAGGTACCTGCTCAGGGTCAGCAGGGTGTACGGTTCTGGACTTCGCGATTATCTCAGCATTGCGATTCGACATATGGATGAACGTCATCATTATTGTCGCGAAGACAATGCACCGTTCAAGCGGATTGTTTGAGGAGTCTTTCAACGCCTCGAAACATTGTCCCAGTCCGCGAGGGCTGAATTGGCGTTGGGCCCGTGGGAGTAGTACCCACTTCCAAGTGAAAGTTTGATGCCGAGTAGCGCCATTGGCGCTTTACCAATCTGACAAAACTGACACCTGGTCAAGCTTAGGACAGTCGGAGGAAGGAACCGCGCAAAGCGCTTTAGGGGGGCGGGAACCCCTTGGAGGTACATGCGGAGCTTCCACCCAGGAGTGGCTGGGTGCTTGAGCCACCCGCACCCTTGGGAGACGGACATGATCGTCAGCAGTTCAATCATTGATAAGAGGAAGACCGGGAAGAAAGGACGGAAGGAAGGAAGGACGCAGGAGGAGGGGGTGGAAGAGAAGGGGAGGAATGATGCAGAACACATAATAAAGAAGAGTACGCGGTCGAGGACGATGACACAGATTTTGATGACGAGCAGGAGAGACTAGAAGGTGGAGTAGGGAGGAGGGCGGAGAGGACAGGGAGGACGAGGAAACAAGGAGAAGCGGAAGGGGAAGGGCCCAGCATCTCATGTGATCATGGTTATTGATTCAGCATCGGGACATGTGCGACATATTTGTTGCAGCGCGCCGCGTGTTAGAGCGTTGGCCTTCAACAGGCTTAGGGCGTTGGCCTCCAGTAGGTACATCATTACGATGAATTGCGGTCATGATTCCAACTCGCAGTGCTACCCTTTCGTGCGACCCTTTCTTGGTGAAGCATCATGTGTGGTGTGATCCCTCCATCTCGGCGCTTTGCAGAGGTAGGGTCGGTTTTGACTGCTGTGGATCTGGAGGTCGCTGGAACGCCGTGGAGAGCTTGACTTCGATGACATGGAGTGGCAGCGCATTCTTCGGGGTGCTTTGCTGCGTCTCTTACTTGGTTTTCAGAGTTGGAGCATGTCTGTGGCATGATGGGATCGTTGACGTTGCAAGTTTCTGATCGCGGTCCAGCTTGAGTGTTCTTCCTGAAGGGCACCCGTTTGGATACATTGCTTTCCTCCTCCGCCCTTCCGCAGCCATCGGCCGAGTCCATCCTGAGACAAGGCTTGTGTAGCGCCCTCCTGGCAGATTTGTCACTTGTCCAGGGCCCAGAATGGTATAGTTGCCAGTTCCAGATTTTTCCTTTCCACTCCTCCCTCGGTCTTGGCCCATGGCGTCCCAGAGCCTGACAGGGAGGCCCTGGTGGTCCACAAGTGGTTTCAGACAAAGCCTCCCTGTTCCAGGGGAGGTGAGAGGATTTCGCCACCAGCGCAGCGTACACAGAGGTCGCTTTCTTCAGTATCCCCATCCCCGAGCGCGGGGTAAGTTTGTCGGCGGCACTGGCCGGTCACCGGGGCTATAACCGTTTTACAGGATTGATCCGGTGACCTTCACAGGCTCGCGTTGGCCTCATTGTGTTGTGCCGTCGCTGCGGTGTCCTGTCTTGCCTTGTGCCCTCTTCTCTGCCCCCCAGAACAATTCGCGCGTGCACCAACGGGTTGCTACTTCAATTTCAAAGCAATTGGTTTGCGCTGCCGAGCTTTCGCCAAGCGCGCGCCCGTGGGCGCCTCGTGGGCGCCCCGCTCGGCTTGCGTTTCTCGATTTTCGGGCGGCATGCGCCCGTGGGCGCGTCGTGAGCGCCCCGTGCGGTGGCCGTCGATTCGGTGTGTTCGGACGGCGGGCACTTCGTGGGCGCCTCATGGGCTGGCTGGCCTTCCTGGCTTGCTCCGCGGGCGCCGGGTGAGCGCCCCTCGCAGTGATTGGCGTTTCCGGATCCACGCATTGATTGCACCACGTACTTTCCCACCCATAGATTGCGCGACACGTTGCGCACATGAGATTTTCTGTGCACGAGATACTGGTCTCTACCCCACGCAGAGGCCGCACAGGACTCCCACCCTCCGCGTATTGGTTTGAAACGTTTTCTCCCGCGTAATGGCGCGTAAGAACCGCGCGAGGTGAGGGCACGCTGGACTGAGAAATGTGTTTTTTTTTTTTTTGTTTAAAAAAGAAGAATTGTAAAACCCCCCCAAAAAAAACATGCGTGCGCTCGCGCTCCCGCGAATTCTTGAGGCAACCATCGGTTGTTCAACATATTCATAGAATTCTGCCAAACGGGCCTCTCGAGTCGCATGCCGAGATCATTTGCGCGCCCTTGTGCGCGTGCTGGGGGGAGGGGGGGATCCGTGTCAAATAACACCGTGCGGGCCACTCTCGCGCGTCGGCCGCGCGCGCGTGTCGAACTCGCTCCAAAACCTTCATTACCGACGCGAGGACGCTGTCATCGTCGCTGGCGTGCGTGATCAGCAACGGCGCCGTCATTGGCCTTGCCGTCGTCGTTGTCACCATCGCCACCAGCACCGTTAAGACCATCATCGTGCCTAGAGTTGTCGACGTTGCCACGATGCCGCACCCGCCCGAGTCGCCAACTCTTATTAAACTGCCCGTTGGGAAGTGCCCAGCAGTCAGCGCCACCGCGGCGGCGGCGGTCGCGCCCAAGCTAGCTGGCCGCTGCGCGCGCGAGCATGCGCGGCCTAGCGCGGCCGCAGGGACGCATTCCAGGATTCATTGCAATCGCCGCCGCATGGGTTTTGCAAACCAAATTGCGGGCGGGCGGGTGGAATGATTGCGCGAGGAGTGGAGTGGAAAAATCATTGCGAACAACAGTTACATTGCAGTACGTAGGTTGCACCCCATGGACGGCACCAAATTGACTGCACCACGTATATTGTGAGGGCCTCCCGCCAGTGCCGCCGATCAAGGGGGCTCCAGATTCGGTGATCTTCGCGGCTCTGTGGCCTCCTCCCTCGATTTTTCCGGTCCTCTTCTTTTCTGGGGGGTGCCTGGAGCGGTCCCGGGGGGGGTCCGGGGAGGGTTCCGAGGGGAGGGTCCGGGGGGCGGTAGCAGCTAGATCTGAGGGGGCCGCCCCCCCCCCCCCCCCCCCCTTTCCCGGGAAGGGTCCGGATGCTCAAATTATGGAGAAAACGCTAAATGCACCCCCTTCTTTCCCCCCTTCCCAGGCAGGGCCACCCCGGCGACCCCCCCCAGACAGAGCTGAAACTCTCGCTTAGGCTCAGAGCTGAAGCTCTTGCTGAGGCTCCTTGTAGCTCACACGCCGGATCGGCGGATTCTCTTTAGGGGAAATATATTCTACCGCCCCCCAGGATTTATCCGCCCCCTTGTCGCATTCCAATTTGCGCACGGTTTGCCCCATCGTCAATCTTAAATGTGAACTCGCACCATCCCAGCCCAGCAGGCATCCGCCCCCCCCGCTATCCTTTGTATAAAATAGTACGCGCGCTCGCTCATATTAAATCGTTAGTTTTTGTTCCGAGAGTCCTTTTCAAAGAAAGGAGACGATGTACACGCGCGCGCTCGTCGCGCGCGCATGCTGGAATCCGTCAACAACTATTGGTTCCGTAAGGATATCAGAAGCCGAGTGTCTTAACCAAATATATATATATATATATACAAGAACACACCGGGGTTTTTAACAGCAGGTTCAAACAAGCATGCGCTCGCGCCCTTGTGAACTCTTGAGAAAACCATCGCCGCCGGTAGCAGTCAGCGCCACCGCGGCGGCGTCGGCCGCGCCCAAGCTAGCTGGCCGCTGCGCGCGCGCGTGCTTGCAGAATTGCAACAGCCAGCGCCAAGCACTCATCGCATTCGCCGCCGCGTCGGTTTTGCAAACCAAGTTGCGGGCGGGAGGGCGGGATGTTTGCAACACCGTATAATGTGTTAGCGCATTTGTATATAAAAAACATGCACCTCTTAGGCTGCGCCGCGCACCTTTTTTTTTCACACCATAGCTTGAACCGCACACAACGCACCATTTGCTCGACATAGAGTGCACAACAGACATTGCATTACATTGGCCGCACCAAATATATTGCAGCACGTAGGTTGCACAACATTGATCGCACAGCATACTGCACAATCCATACTGCCAGAAACACAGTTGTTAAGACCACGTTGGTAACCATCTTTCCCCCCATGCTAAACAATATGTTGTCTGTCAGTTCTGGTATATGCGCTGTGCTCTCGATATCCTGCGCTCTCTTCACATACCCCCGTTCCGTAGCCATTTTGGCTCAAACCATTTTGGCTCAAGCCGTTCCGGGGCCCAGATCTGGGCTCTTGCTAACGCTAACTTCGGAACGGCCTGCGTTAGCGAGCCAATCGGCTTGCGGCGCCTTCTCTCACGGCTTCCGGCCTGCGATGGATGCCGCCGGCGTGCCACTGGTTCCCGGGCTGCAGCCTCCTTGGCGTGGCGGTCAGCGTGGCTGGCGCAAGGGCCGCAAGGAGAAGGACTACCGCAAGACCACTGACACCTACGCGGTGTGTTCTTGCGGCCACTACACGTGGGACCACTTGCTCGCGAAGCGTGGCGGGCAGTGCGTGCACTGCCGCGCGCAGCTTGTGCCCCCACCGTTGGTTGTTTTGGATGCTGACCCTGGTCATGGGCATCGCAAGCCGGGTGCTACAGGCCTCTCTTCTGAGACGGTGGCCCAGCTGCGCGAGATGGCTTCCAAGGTCCCTGAAGAAGAAGCGAGGGCGATATTGTCCCCATACGGCTTGGCGCTGCAGGCTTCTGTCAAACAGCCCGAGTTGCCTGAGACCGAGTACGTGCAGGCGCAGTCTGCCAAGCGCGAGGCGCAGCGGCAGGTCGATCGGGCCTTGGACGCCCGCAAGCGCCTGGAGCAGCAGATCAAGGACGCCGACAAGAGGCTGGACGACGCTGTGGCGGCCGATATGCAGGCGGCCGAGGTGGTGGCAGCTGCTGCTAAGCGTATCTCTGCTCGTGTTCTGCCTTCCGAGCCGCCCAAGTCCGTGGTCCACATGGACGCGCTGCTGCGGGACGGCGGGAAGGCCATCTTTTTGGAGCTCGGCGAGGAGTTGGACCTCTCTGGACCCGAGTTCTCTGACGAGGACCGCGACGCTTTCACGAAATTCAAGAATGACATGTTGGAGAAGGCCTCCAAGCTCATCACCGAGTCCTTGGCTGGGGTCGTGGACAAGGCGAAGGAGCACAAGGAGGAGTACGCCAACCGGATTGGCGAGCTCAAGAAGAAGCGCAAGCAGAACAATGGCAACCCTCAGACGGTTCGCCCTTCGGTGCCGGGGGGCGCGGGGGCAGCTGCGTCCGGCGCCCCGGGAGGAGATGGTGCTCAACCTGAGGCGCCTGAGGATCCTGAGCGGGCAGCCTATATGGCAGCAGCGAAGGCACGCGCTGCTGCCCGCAAGGCTGAGACCGAGGCCGCCCCGGCCGCGGGCTCTGTCGCGCCACTCTCCTAGCACAGTTTGCTCCCCTCCCTCCTGCTTGACCTCTCCTGCGGCCCCTCTGCCCTTTAAGACTCCGGCCCCAAGTCTGCGAATGACTGTTGCCAACATCTCCCTCTGGGGACCCTCAGCAAAGCGCTGGTTGGCAGAGACCTCGGCAGACTTAGTTTTGTTTTCGGAGCATAGGCAGATCGGTAGCGATTTTGATTCGATGGTAAAGTTTTTGCACCGTTCGGGATGGAGGGTGGTAGCGAATCTAGCCGACACCACATCAGCGCTTTCAGATAGCGTTTGAGTTTTGATTATTAGTCGATCTCATTTGCAAGTGAGCAACCTTGCTAGGCTGCATGAAGAGTGGACGGATGCGAGTTGCTCCCGCTACATGTTTGGCACTCTGCGATTACGGGGTGTTGACGTCACTACTGTTTCTGTCTACCTGCACGCTTGCATCGGCCTCACGGGTCTTAATCTCTCTCTGCTCACCGAGCTCGGCGCTCTCATTTCGAGAGCGGGTGCGCCCGTCATAGTTGCGGGTGATTGGAACATGCGGCCCGAATTGTTGGGTGATTCCGGATTCTTGGCTAAGGCTGGTTTGGCAGTTGTCCCCATGCCAAACGTTGCCGCCACGTGTGTTGGCGCTGGCACTCCTAGCCTCATTGATTTCTGTTGCGTGAGCAATATTTTCATGGATGCGATTGAGTTTGATGGCATCGACCCCTCAGCCCCGTGGGGAACCCATAGTGCTTTGAGCTTCCGCATTTGTGCTGCTCCGCGCCAGCTTGAGGTGTCGAAGATAATGCAGCCGAAAGCTCTTGATATGAAAGGTGTTGTGGGTCCCGCGCCACCCTGGGTGAGCGCCATGGCTAAGGCTAAGCTTATGTGTCATTCCAGTGGGCGGTTTCGTGGATCCAGCTCGAGCGCTCGGCATGAGTTATTGCTTGTCCATGATGTGCCTCATTGTGCGTTAGGGTTGGGACATCAATTGTCTGAGTGGTGCATTGCGGTTGAATTGGAAGCTTGTTATCGTTTGCAGCTTCCTCTTGATTCTTGGAAGGCCCATGTCGGGCGCTGCCAGCCTCCTCGCATTCGCCGGGCCCCTCTGCTACCGAAGACGGTGCCAGCTCCCAATGTTTCGGATCGTCTTGCGCGTTTTTGGCAGGCCTTGGGAGTGCAGTTGCATATGTTGCTTAAGCTCTGTGAGGAGGTGGACCCTTCGTGTCCACCTGAGCCCGTGCCGCGCTGCGCTGCGCAGTTCTGGTCTATTGCTCGGACGTGCCAAGCTCTTGAGGTGCCACCCACGGCTAATCCCGATGATAAGAGCGAGGTCGCCGTTGTTCAGATGTGGCAGCGGCGCCGGTCTGAGCTCACTGGCACTGCGCTGGATGGCGTTGAACAGATGGCCGAGGAGGCTGCCGCCATGGGAGCCAAGATGGCCAGAAAGGCCGCCTCTGTCCAGCGCGCTTCGTGGCGATATTGGCTTCAGGAGGCCTTGTCGCGCTCCGCGGGCCCAGCGCGCCGTCTCCTCAAGAAAGGTGCGGTCCTTCTCGTTAGTGACCGTGCGTCGGATGCTAAGTTGCACTCCAATGTTGAAGAATTGCTCGACTTTGCGGCGTCGGCTTGGTCGTCTATTTGGCGGCAGCATTCTGAGAGTGAAGCTCGCAGTATCTCGGCGTCGTTGCGCGTGCGCGCCCGCGAGTCCCCTCGCCTCGAGCCAATCATCCTGGCCATGTTGGAAGATGCGGTCAAGACCATTCCTGATAGAAGGGGCCGCGGCTGTGGCCATTTCCTTCCTCGATTGCTCAAGGAGGCCAGCGTCGATGCTAAGAAGGCTTTCTTTCAGATGCTCGCGCCCATAGAGGAAGAAGCCACTCTCCCCACGCAACAGCTTTTCAATGCCATTGCGCTCCTTGAGAAACCAGGCGGGGGGCGTCGCCCCATTGCGCTCATGGGTTTTTGCTATGTTGTATTGTTGCGGATCCGCAGGCCGCGCGTGCAAGCCTGGGGCCGCGCATATCACGGTCCATGGGGCAAAGCGGTAGGAAGTTCTGCCGAGGCCGCCGGCTGGCTGGGCGAGTTGGCGTCTGAGCTTGCCTTGCATCGGGGTTTCCAGGTCGCGGGCTTGTTGTTGGACCTTCGTAAATTTTACGATTCCGCGTGCTTGGCCGATCTTGTGGACGCGGCAACTGAGCTGAATTATCCGCTGAGGCTTCTGGCCCTCGCCCTTGGTTCATATTTGGGCGCGGGGATTTTGACGCTCGCAGGTTGCATGCACAAAGGCGTCTTGCCGAGCGGAGGCGTTCTTCCAGGTTGTGGCCAGGCTGTCTCACTGTCCAGGGCTTTCTTGTTTGCTCCTCTCGATGCTGCCTCCAAGTCCGTGTCGGGGCAGTCATTGCGGGAATGGGTTGATGATCTTTCTTGTCGCTTGTATGGCACGCATGCGTCTCTTGTTGCCACCTTTCCTGTTCTGCTTAGGGCTCTTCTGACTGGGCTTCGCAAGCGTAAGGTACAACTCTCCCTTGGTAAATGCGGGGTGCTGGCCTCGTCCGCGAGTCTCCGTCGCGAGCTTGTTTCGTTGGCGCGACAGCAAGGATTCGGCGATATCAAAGGTCTTGCGATTGCACGGGACCTGGGCCATGACACCAGCTTAGGTGCCAGACGCACCGTTGTGGTCCGGCGCGCTCGCATGCACGCTGGCAGCAAGGCGTCGGCGAAAATCAACCGCCTTTCATCTTCTAACCGGGATGCGTGCAAGCTTTTCCGCACGAGTGCTTATCTTAAGAGTTGTTGGGCGTCTGAGGTGCACGGATTGGCACCGCGCATGATAAAGCGATTGCGAGCTATGGCTCATGCGTCCAGCCGCTCCCCCCAGAAAGGTACCTGCTGCACCGCGGCCTTCCGTCTTACGCATGGCCCTGGGCGCGACCCTGCCCAGGTCCACGTGAGGAGGGTCGTCAGCACGTGGTACAGCAGAACGGCTGGGGGGGGCCTTTTTTGACTGTCCAGCAGTCCTGGGATAGGTCGCTCGAGCTTGTGCGACGTGGATGGGGTTTTGCTCGAGGGCCGATGGGAGCTTTCCAAGCCGCGCTGATATCTCTCGGCTGGCAGTGCCCTTCGCCGACTGAGGTGCATGATCCCACCGGGGAAGTCTGGCGGATGGTGGGCTCGGGCGAGGGTCCTGCGACTGCTCTTCTCGAGGCGTTCGGTGACCATCTTGACGCTGCGCACTGGCGTGCAGCCGCGTCTTTTCACGACGGAGGAGGCGCGGAGACTGGCGTCGAGTGGACACGCGTGGCGGGACTCATTCGGCGCGTTGCGAAGAGGGTGATTTGGCGCTCTCCCGCATGATTCGGCTAGTTGCCTGCGGCGGTTATTGGCCAGAGGAACGCATGTGCTCTGCTAAGATTGCTCCTGATCGTCTGCGCCAGCAGTGTAGTACATGCGTTGACTCGTCTAGTCATGCATTCTGGGGCTGTTCTTGTCACGCCACTTCGTCTTGTGAGCACATTTCCAAGAGCAATGAGCTTTGCCAGCAGGCCCTTGACGGCATTGATGAGCACCCTATATTTTGGTGCCGCGGTCTCATTCCCAAGGGTTGGCTTCGTCTTCCCGGGGCTCCGGAGGCTCGGGCGTTGGAGTTTTTTTTTTTGTTTTTTGCGATGCCCTGGCGGCCCTCTACCCGGAGGATTTTACGGCGGCGATGGCGCTGGAAGGCGCTATGCCACCGATCCCATCTTGCGTCGTGTGACCTTTTGCTTCGCGCGCCTTTGCGTTGTTCCAGATCTTGGTTGGGATTGCGGGGTGCATGGAGTGCTGGACAGTCAACGTCAGACGGTGCCGCGCGCTGAGTTGGTTGCCACAGTGGAGGTGGTGCGTCGCGTGGCAGTTGAGCAGCACTTGACGGTGGTCACTGACCACGTCAATCACCTGAGAGCTTTTCATAAGGGACGTCATCGCACCCTTCGGTTGCAGAGTGCTGACTTGTGGTGGGAGCTCTGGCAAATGCTCGATTTGCGGTCTGGGTTGCTCGATTTAGTTTACGCGCCTAGCCATTGTGCCGATGATGAAGCGAAGTTTGCTCGTCTTGCGAGTTCTCTGAACCCGCAATATCTTTTCATTGATGCGATAGCGGATGCTCTGGCCACGGCGCGGTCGGCGAGCGCCCAGATCCCGGCCGACGTGGTTCGGGAAGTCGTTGACTTTGAAAATCTGGCTTGCCGCATCTTGCGACGCAATGCTTCCATAATTTTGGAACGTGCCAGGGGGCCCAAGAATCCAGCACGCATTGTTCATCGCGTCCAGCTCCCGCGCGTGGTCCGCCGGCGCAGGGTTGCGGTCGCGCTTCTTGAAGCTTCCAGCCACAATTTCGAGCCTGTGGCCAAGGACATATGGAGGTGCACAGCGTGCAACAAATTGTGGCAACCTGCCTCTCGCTTGTTTCTCCGAACGGTTCGTTCGCAGTGTGCAGCTTTTGTGCAAACTGCGCCTCCCACTCCTGAGTGTCCAAGGCGGGCTAGAGGGCGGCGAGCGGGGGGCTCGCAGGTCGGCAAAGCACCAATCGATGATGACCTTTGGTGTAGGCTTGGAATGACCGACCCCCCTCGACGTTTGCCTGCCCCTGCCTGCGCCCACGGGCACAGGGTGCATGATAGCCGCGCTGCCTGGAGCAAAGGCCGTTTCACCTTCTGTGACTGTGCGGATGCTGGGCTGAATCTAAGCCCCGAGATTTGCCCAGGCAGTGCCCAGTAGCATCGGATGGCACGGCGGCCCTCGCAGCTTATAACTGCGAGGCGCTGGGGAGGCTGAGGCAGGGAAAGCCCCCTAAGAAGAAGTGCCTCGACTGGGGGAGCACTGTCGATGCTTTCATCGACCTCTAATTCACGATTTTCACCTGCCTGGCAATCTCTCCGGAAGCTTGACTGGCTGCGGTCCACAGCAAAAAAGTTCACATACCCCCGTTCTCCTGTTACTTCGATCCGCACTGTATCCGTGCGGGTATCGCCCCTTGCCGGCGGCCCCCTCCCATTCATTTTAGGACACATAAAGCTACACTTGCGGGTTCTGGTGATGCTGATGATGAGAATGATGATAGTGGTTTCTGATGTTGATGATTAGTATGCTGACCATGTTGCATGGATTCAAAGAGTTGCGCAACAATTTGCAACAGCATGGGCCCATACATAAACGACATGTCCAGGCAATTTCCCATCATATCATTGAGGGGTGAGGACACTTGACGCCTAGAATATCGCCACCATCGCACCCAGACGCGACGGAGGAAATGAGGGTCGAGGTGGAGGAAAAGGCGCGAGACGGAACAAGAAGACGAAGAGGAAAAGGAGTAAATATGATGCGCGAGATCATGGCTATGAGGACGCAGCCATGGCGTAATTTACGATGGGTTGTGGCCTCCGGAATGCGACTTTTGTATACTTTACTGGGGATTGTGGCCCCAGGGACGCGAGCATCGTGTAATTCAGGATGGGTTGTGGCTTCGGGGACGCACACATTGCGCAACGTGCGAGGGGTTCCCTTTCGGGGGCGCGAAGTTGATTTGATTTGACGTGCCCCACGCCCCCCCCCGTTCAGAAATGCTGAGTCATCCAGGGGGGCGTGGTGAATTGGCCTACAACGCCCGGTTAACACTGGCAGATCGGATCGCTTTCGACGCCAGCCAGCACGGCAACCAGCGGGGGCTCTCTGACCGGCTAGACCAGGCCGCCAAGGCCGAACTCTGGGAACGCGCTTGCCCCGCCACCAGGGCCCACCTCTCGCTGGTCAGTGCCCCTGGCGCCAGCGGCTGGCTGCAGGCGCGGCCCTGCGCTGAGGTTGGCACGGAGTTCCCGCACGGCTTGATGCAGATTGCTCTGCAGAGGCGCTTGCGGGTGCAGCTGGCGGACGCAGAGACCTTCTGCCCGGCTTGCGACGGCATCCTCGACGTCTACGGCGACCACGCGCTGGTCTGTCCTTGCCGAGGGGACCGAGTCAAGCGGCACAACGCCTTACGAGACCAGGCTTTCTTCGCCGCGCAAGCCGCGGGGTTCCCCGGCTCCGAGCTCGAACGGCCTGGCCTTATGCAGCCTCGCGCGAGCGGCGAGGGCCCGCCTGGGACGGAAGAGAACGGCGGCGAGCTCGACGACGACGGCAGGCGCCCGGCGGATGTGTATATTCCCCGTTGGCGTAACGGCGCCCCGGCCGCCCTTGACTTCGCGGTCACCTCGGGGCTGCGGGGCGACCTGCTCGCCGCCTCGGCTGCCGCGCCTGGCGCCGCGGCCGAGCGCTACGAGGAGCAAAAACGCCTCTTCCTCAACATCGAGCGCAGCTGCGCCGCCGCTGGGATCACCTTCATTCCCATGGTGGTCGAGGCGCACGGCGGCGGCTGGGGCAAGGAGGCGCGGCGCGCCCTGGCCGTCCTGGCCAAGCGCGCGGCAGACGCCACGGGGGGCGACCCCTCGCAGGTGGCGGCGGAGCGCGCCCAGCGACTCTCGCATCTCCTCCAAAGGGAGAACGCGCGGGCCGTGCTCCGCAGGCTACAGGCGCCGGCCGGGGCGTCCGCGGCCAGGTTTGCCGCGGCCACGGCGGCCAACGCGGCCGACGCCGCCTGAGCCGCCGGCCCATTCCCCCTCCCCTGACTACGACCACCGCCCCCGGCCCGCCCCAACGACCGCGACCGCCCCCGACGCCCTGCCCTGACTTGACCACGACCGCCCCGACGACCACGACCGCCCCCGACGACCACGACAGCCCCCGACGACCAACGCCCCCGACGCCCTGCCCTGACCACGACCGCCCCGACGACCACGACCCTCCCCGACGACCACGACCGCCCCCGACGACCAACGCCCCCGACGCCCTGCCCTGACCACGACCGCCCCCTCCCCCGTCCACGACGACGACCTCCTCCGTCCGCCCCGTCGTTCCTGCTTGCTCTGCGCTGCCTCTGCCGCTCCCCTCCCTCCTCCTGTCCTGTTCGGCGTTCGTTCGCATTGCTTTTTCTTTTTGCCCCCCTCCTCCTCTTCCTCCTCCTCCTCCCCTCCTGCGCCTCCCTGCGCAAAGAGGAAGCAGACGGCGGCCGCAGTTGCGCTGGAACCTGCCTCCCTCTCGTGACAGAGCAGCCTGGTGTTTTGCCAATTCAGGTTAGGAATGCGTGAGCATTCCTTTTGTGTGCTCGTGCTGGAGCCGATCCTCCTTCTTTCGCGCGGACTCCAACAAGTCACGATAGGAAATAGCACGTCGGATTATAATACTGGATACTTGAAGCTGGAACCCCCGCAGCCTGATGGCCCCCCAGCGGATCTGGCGGAAACGTCTATCTATCTTATATATACAGATATATACGTCGATCGCGGCTTATACTATGCATCCGCAGTTTACACCTTGCACGCACTATCTCCACGATGTTGTGTTTTCCCTCTCTGCCATATCATTTCGCTTGGGAGGTGGTCCTCCTTCACGGGGCGGGGAGTGTGTAACGAGTATGCCGAGGCGGGCAATGTGCCCACATGTGCCCGTGTCCATTGGAGCAGCGGGGCTCTTTGTTTCAATCAAAGGGTTGTGTGCGAGGAGTTGGCCTGCCTTTGCGCCGGAGCAGTGGGTTGGGGCTCGTCACTGGGCAAGAACCGCGTGAGGGGGTGCGCAGAAGCGGACGTGGCGCCCACATGCGCCCCGCACCCTGTCGGGGCCGTGCTGGCGGCCTCTGGGGAAGAACGAAGCGTGAGAGGGGAGTGCTTAACAGGGCGTGGCGCCCGCAGCGGCAGAGGCAGGGCGAGCAGCAACGTCAACGGCAGGCAGCGGCAGGCAGCGGCCAAAACAGAGGGAGGGGCGGAAGGAAGAGGAACAATGAAGGAGTCGTGCGGCGCAGTGGAGAGCCAACGAGGACCCAACGCGAGTGTATTGAGAATATTCGAAGAAGGACGTTGCGAAAAGGTGTGATCAGCAGGCACCAGAAGTCAACCCCTAAAAGTCATCAGGACAGCAACCTCGAAAGTCCTCAGGATGGCAAAGCTGCTGCCGATGCGCATCCTTTCTTACCTTCTTGATCCTCATCCCTCGTTCCTTGTCCCTCCACCGTCCTCCCTTCGCCCTGTTCCTTCCTCCGTTGCCCTCCGCCCCGCCTCCAATTTCCTCCTCTCCCATGTGTCATGCCTCCTCCCGCATCTTTCCTGCCGCTGGCGGGTCGGGGTCGGCCTTTGGGGGGGCGCCAGGAGCGGTACCATGCTCCTCCTCTGCCTCCTCTTCCTCGCGCATCCCTTCTCCCCCCCCCTGCCTCCACCCCCATTCTTCCTCCCCCTCCCTTGCCCCTGTCCGTCCTCCCTCGCTCCTTCCTCCCTCCTCAATCATCCCTCCTTCCTCGCCGTTCCCTCCTCCAATTCGCCCCCTCCTCTCCTCGAGCTTCCCCCCCACACACACTGCCACACTCCAGCGCGCGGCTCTGCGCGGCCCGCGGCTAATTATGCAGGGGCTCCTCTCGGACAAGAGGGACTACCGGTACACGTTCCTCATCACGGCGCCGCGAGCCCGCAGGAGTGGGAAGGGGGGGTGGCGATGAGGGGGAGCGTGGGAGCGTGGGAGTAGACGGCGCGGGTCGCCGAAACGCCCGACGGCGCAAGCCCGCGCGCGCTTGCAGCGCCGCGGCGGGCCGCCGAGCTGGGCGGGCCTCAGGCGGGCCCGCGTCGTCGGCCCCGCGCGCCGCGCCGCCGTCAGCAGGGGGGCCATGGCCGCGGAGCCGCCTGACCGCGCCGCCGCCCTCGGTCGGACCTTGTGGGTCCCGCTGCTCTCGGTTGCCGCCGAGGCGGGCCCGCCCGCGGAGGTGGCGTTCCAGTCTGCCGTCGCTCGCCTCCGTCCCGGTGGGCGCCGCGGGGCTGCGGCGCGGCCGCAGGCCTGCTGGGCGCCTCGCCCGAGGCGGAGGGAGGGTGCCGGCGCCCGGGGGGCGCTCCTGGCCCCGCCCCCGCCGTGGGCCCGCGCTCGCGCGTGCCTCCCGCAGCCCCCCTCGGGTCTGTGGGCAGCGGCGCCCTCCGCAGCGGCTCCGCGCTCGGCCGTCGGAGCCCGCGCTGGCCCGCTGCCACGGCGCCCGCCTGCAGCTCGGCCGCCGCGGCGCGGAGGAGGAGGAGGAGGAGGAGGAGGAGGAGGAGGAGGAGGAGGAGGAGGACGACGACGACGACGACGGCGGGAGCGGCCGAAGGGGCGGCGCTCCTCGCTGCTGCTGTGGGGTCCTCGTCAGCCGTGCCTGACCCCACGAGCGAGCTCGACGGCCCCCTCGTTGGGGAGTGGTGGTGCCGCCATCTTGCCTTCGCCGACACCACGGGGGATGCTGCTCTTGTGCCTGCCGCGCGGTGAAGGCTCCCGTCTTCGCCGTACCGCGCGCGCATCGCTCCCTCCCAAGCCGCGGAGGGCCACCTGCTCCATCTCGTCCAGGGTCTGTGGGGGCTGCGCTGCTGGAGATGCTGGTCTGCCCCGTCGCTGTCTGCGTCCAAGTCGGACTGATCCACCTGCTCCAACACCGCCTGGATCAGCAGGTACGGTGCTGCATACACGTGCTGCCTGCCGGGAAGGCCCGCGGCGTGCACGCAGCGGGGAACCACATCGTCGTCGAACCTCTCGCGCGACGCTGCTCCTGCCCAGATCGACGTGGGGCAACCTGCTCCATCCCTACTCGGATAACTATCCTGGAGCTGCGCTGCTTGAAATATTGGTCTGCTTCGTCGCTGTCCTCGTCGAGGCGGAGGTGGGCCTCCTGCGTGCTGAATGGGTCCGAGAGCTGGCTCCCGAGCGCGGTCACCTCGCTCGTCTCCTGGTGCGGGGTTGCGTCGTTGTCGGACTTCACGTGTGCCGATCCTACCCGAGGCGAGGGGTCTTCCGCTTCCTCCCTGCTTGGGGTTCCTGCTGTGCCGGGGAGGTTGGCTGACTGCGGTGTCGTCTTTGCGCGGGCCGAGCCAATCCAAGAAAGTTGGCCACGGCGGTTCCAGCAGCGACTCGGCGGCCTCCACAGCGGACGTCCCTTCAAAGCCTACCCCGAGGTACCGGGGCTCCTGCCCGAAGCAGCCTCACCGGCCTGCCTTCGGCCACTTCCCGAGCCCGATCCGCTTTAGGTGCTCTGCCCTTGTCGGCGCCAGGGCGGGCACGGCTGCTGCAGCCCGTGGCCGAGGAGGCGGCGACCCGCCGCGGCGAAATAAAACCGGGGTGCTGGCAGAACCACGCCCCCAAGTCTTTGTGCATCGGCCCGCCTATCTGGATGGGCAACGCCTCGGAGCGCGGTTCGTTGATCTCTCTGGCCCGCCGCGCCAGCGGCCAGCGCTCTGCCAGGAGCCGCGCCGCGCGGCAGCCCTCCGAGGCGGACTGGCAGCACGCCCGGCACGCCCGGCAGTCCGGCCCCAGCACGTGTTGCGAGGCGAAGACGGCCACCGCGCGAGCCGCAGGAGGCGCTGAGCGCGCTCGACGGCGGGCGGCCCTGCGGCGCGGGGCGGCCTTGCACGGCGTCCAGCGCGGACGGCAGCAGCCGCCGCCAGACCGCGGTCGCCATGGTCTCGACTTGGGCCACGCGAGCCCGCCTGCCCGCTTGGACCCGCGCGAGCACCGCTGCGCGCCTCGCTGCCTGGGGCCAGCTCGGGCGAAGCGCCTCTCGCGATCGGCTCCTCCGCATCGAGGTACGAGTCTTCTCGCTCCGCCGCGATGTCACTGCGCGCCCGCTGCCGCATCGTGCGGCCGAGCCGCCACCAGAGGTCTTGGTCGGGGCCCTGCGGCCGCTGGCCCCAGCGCCGCCGCCCAGTTAGTTGTCCGTCGCGTATACGACGCCCGAGCGGCCCTCCACGCAAGGGACAAGGCCGAGGAGCTCGCCACGATGCCTCACTTGGCGTCGTGCAGGTAGCGATCCCGGCACTGCAATGGTTGCGCGCGTGAAGGTGCTATTCATGACGACCACGGCGACGCCGACCCGCCGCAAGTCGGGGCGAAGGCAGTCGCTCGCTCTGCTCGTGTCGCCAGAGACGAGCAGGGGACTGGAGGGCGCTCCCGTGCCGAGGTCTGGGCCCCCGTCGGCGGTCCCGGTAACAGCCCGCTGCTCCTCCACCTTCTCTTCCTCCTCCTAGGTCCTCCTCCTCCTCCTCCTAGCTCCTCCTCCTCCTCCTAGCTCCTCCTCCTCCTCCTCCTCCTCCTCCTCCTCCTCCTCCTCCTCCTCCTCCTCCTCCTCCTCCTCCTCCTCCTCCCCCCCCTCCTCCGTTGGTGGGCTGACGGCCGCCCGCGGCTTCGGCGCCAGGCCGCGCGCCCAGAAGCGCGGGAAGGCCTCGTGCTCCGCGCGCGCCCGTGCGACGTGTTCCTGGCTGGCTGCGCGCGCGTTGGGGCCCGAATTGCACTCGCATCCCCGAGCCCGATTGAAGTCGGTTTCGAGTTCGTGCCCGCGCTGCTCGCAGCAGGCGCAGCTGTCGCCCTCGTCGACGAAGCCCGCGGCGCCACGGCGCTCGGCAGGATAGGCGCCGCCGACCACGGTGGTGACCATCAGCTGCCGGGGTGCGTGCCCACGCGGGATCCGACCCAGCCGGCGGTGAGAGCGACCAAGCCCATTGAAGTCAGTTCATTCCTCCAGCCCTCCCCCACGGCGGTGCTGCGCGGCGCCGTGCCACAACGCCGTCACGATGGAATCGCCGAAGGCCTGGGGCAAGCTTCTGCTGGAGCCGTCCACAAGCGTGCGTCTGCGTCGTGGAAGGCCCAGAACTCCCGCGATCCTTCGGCGGCGAACCTGGCCCAGCCCATCGGGCCGATGGGCAGTCAGTCGCACGCGTGCCGAACATTGGGATGAAGGCGTCGTGCCCGAACAAGAGGAGCACGCGCCGTAGTTGAAACATCCAGCGGGCCCTCGGTTCGCGGGCGGGGTAAAACACGATGAGGGCAAGCGACCAGGGCCCCGCCCGACGTGCTGGTGAGCTACACACCAGCAGTTCCCCGCAGTGGGGGGGCTCCGCATTGGGAGCGAGCGCCGGGCCAGCTGCCGCCCCCCCCCCCCCCCAACAAAAAAAAAAACACCACACCCCGCGCGGGCGTGCGACGGCATATGGCAGATGCAACGGCCAGACACACATTCTTGGCGGCCACGGCAGCTGCTCGGCGCCATGTCGTGATTGCCGCTGTCCTGTGGCCATTTAAACCCAGCGAAGGTGTACACCAGTAGTGCCAGCGCGCCTCCGTTGACGCCCAGCAGCCTAAAGATGCAAGGGGGGGCCAGAGCGGGGTTCGCATCCCCGCCTGGCGTAGACCGCCCGCCCCGGCCTGCCCGGTGCCGCGGCGCACGGGGCAACGCCTTGGAGGGTTATCAGGGACACATCCTTTCTCGCAGCGGCGCGCGTCGTCGGCGCCGCGGACACCGCCCGACACCTTGCGCCGCGCCCGCTGGATGCGCTGCCGTAGCGCCCCGTCGGCCAGTCACGTCGCGAGCCAGCCCTCGGGGAGTTCGCGGGGCGGCTTCCCGGCGGGGTCGGCGTCGCCAAGTTGCAGCTGCAGCTGGGTTGTCAAGCCCCGCCCTTGCCGCGCCGGGCACGACGCGGCCGTCGACCCCCTCGGTGGGAGCGCGCGGTCTAGACCGAACAGCCCGTGCACTTGGTGGACGTAGCGCGCGCTCGCCTGGCACGCCTGCCGCTTGATCCTGACGCGCGTGGCGCGCGTGCGCGAGCTGCGCGCGAAGCCGTGCGCCCTGCTACTGCGGCCAGTGTGCGCGCACTTTTCCGGCCGACACATTACCCGTTCACCGCCCTCCGTGCCAGTCGCACTAGGCTCGAGCTGAGCACGAGCCGCCGTGGTCAGGATTCTCCGCCCTGCCTGCGCGCTCGGCATCTCCGCGCCACTTGGCGAAGTCCTTGGCCCGTCTGACGTGAGGGAGGAGGAGGGGTGAGGAGGAGGAGGAGGAGGAGGAGGAGGAGGTGGAGGACGAGGAGGAGGAGGAGGAGAAGGAGGAGCAGGAGGAGGGGTGAGGACGAGGAGGAGGAGGAGGACGAGGAGGAGGAGGAGGAGGGCGGTGAATGGGTGACGCGTCGAGGATGATGGGGGAGGAGGACGAGGAGGAGGAGGAGGAGGGAAGGAGGAGGGAAGGAGGAGAAGGAGGAGGAGGAGGAGGAGGAGGAGCAGGAGGAGGAGGAGGAGGAGGGGGAGGGGGGAGGTATCGGTATCGGTATCGATCCTCTGAGTCCAAGGGTCGGATGGACTTGGGACAAGTTTGGGGAACTCCCCTCATATCAAGCTCTCGGCTCTCCACCACTGGAGGGCGCCAGCGACGGTGCCCGTCGGCAGACGTCGGCGCACGGCCGAATTCCTGAGACTGCTGCGCACTCAAGAAACAATCATCCCTTGCCCCTCGAGCTCAAGGTAGCCCGCAGGCCGCGGGCCAGTGAAGACAGTGGCCTCTTCTTCCGAAGAGATTAAAATATGGACCACAGTGGCCTCCAGCACGGGACCTTTGATGGCTACCATGAGCTTGCGCACTTTAGAATCGAACATTTTCTCCGTGCGAAAAAGCTTGATCAA